TTAAGATATCTTAGAACACGAAGAGCTGCGTTCCAATGGTCAAGACGTGGTGCCTGCATAAATTGAGAAAGTGTATGGACTGCATAACATATATCAGGACGAGTAATAGTCAAGTAAAGCAAACGGCCTACAAGACGTCGATACTTGAGGGGATCTCGAATCTCAGCACTAGTAGAGCGAGCCAAATCATGATTGACTGGCAATGGAGTATCAACAGGTTTACACCCATCAAGATTAGCCTCATGAATAATGTCAAGAGCATACTTCCGTTGATTAAGTACCATACCATCATGAGATCGAGCACACTCAATCCCCAAAAAATAGGAAACAGGGCCAAGATCTTTGAGATTAAAACATTCATCTAAGTATTTCTTGAATGAAGAACAGAATGAACGATTGTTACCAGCCACCAGAATATCATCAACATAAATAAGAACAACTAACATGTCAGGGCCACGTCGTAAAACAAAGAGAGTATGATCAGCATGTGCTTGACGAAATCCATAACGCCGTAGAGCAATACGGAGTTTAGTGAACCAATTACGGGGAGACTGACGGAGTCCATACAAAGACTTACGCAGGCGGCAAACTTTTCCAGGAAAGAATTGCGTATAACCCGGAGGAATTTTCATATAAATCTCATCCTGTAAATCCCCATGCAAAAAGGCATTATTGACATCCAACTGATCAACCTGCCAACCGCGAGCAACTGCAACAGATAACAAAACACGAACAGTGGCTAACTTTGCTACAGGAGCAAATGTATCAGTATAGTCAACCCCAAATTCCTGGTCGTTTCCCAAAACGACAAGTCGAGCCTTGTCATGTTCCTTAGTACCATCAGAATGATACTTGGTCCTGTACACCCACTGACAACCAAGGGCCCGGCGATTAGGAGGAAGATCAACAATATCCCAAGTGTGATTACGCTCTAGAGCTAAATACTCAGCAGCCATAGCCTCGCGCCATGAAGCAAACTGAACAGCTTCACGAAAATTGCGTGGGACCGAGGTGGCATCAATTGCTCCAAGAAAACCTTTGTACCTGTCATGTAACTTATTATAATGAACAAAGTTAGTAATAGGAAACCGAGTACCGGATGAAGATGTACTAGATGATGAGGAAGGCGGAGTGTCTGTCTTTGCGGAATGAAGAACAAAGTCATTGAGATGAGGCGGAAGACGACGGTTACGAGGAGGCAACGGTTGGATAGTGGGTGGCGGAGAACTAGCTTGCGTCGAAGGGACGTTGCTGCTGTTGTCATCTGGGGAGACGGAAGACGAGGGAGATGGAGGTAGCGACGGGGTAGAGACTGGGGAAGGACTGGATACGACCGTTTGTTGTGGGGACGAGGTTATTGTGGACCCGGATGATGGAAGTACTGGAAAGTCCTCCGAAGAAGGATTTAAAATGGGCTGAGGAGAAGTAGACTTTGTGGAAATGGCAAAGGGAAATTGTGTTTCGTCAAAGGACACATCCCGAGTGTGAAAAAATTGGTGTGTCTCAAGATTGTATACTCGCCAGCCTTTAGTACCGTAAGGATAGCCGACGAACATACATTTCATACTCCGCGGATAGAATTTATTTGTGGGTTTAGGCATTTGACGAACAAAGCATAAACAACCAAAGACACGAAGATGATCCAAGGTTTGAGGTTTAGATGACAAGATCTCAAGGGGAGACTTACCCCCGAGTAGCTTTGTCGGCGTACGGTTGATAAGATACACAGCAGTTTTGACACATTCCCCCCAAAATTCAATAGGAAGAGAAGCTTGAAACATAAGGGACCGAGCAACATTTAATATATGACGATGTTTGCGTTCGACCCGGCCATTCTGTTGTGGAGTGCCTACACAAGAAGTTTGAATGCACACACCCAAAGAATCATAATATTGGCGTAAAGAATCATTAAGAAACTCAGTGCCATTATCAGACCGAACCATTTTTATTGTTTTGGAATATTGAGTGTGAATCATGACAAAAAATCGCTTAAGACAAGATGTGACCTCACCTTTTGTTTTGATGAGATAAACCCAAACAGCTCGAGAGAAGTCATCAACAATAGTGAGAAAGTAATGTGCCCCAGATGATATACAAGCAGAATATGGCCCCCACAAATCACAATGAATTAAATCAAAAACAGCAGCAGCTTTATTATTACTAACAGGAAATGAGGAACGAGTTTGTTTAGATAAAAAACAAATTTCACAGGTCTGCAATTTCTTGACAATAAAGTTTGTTTTATTCAAACCGAGAAAAGGTAAAACATCTGAGGATGGGTGTCCTAACCGTTGATGAAGAACAAATGGATCAATATTAGCTACGAGAGCTGACGCTGAAGGGGAAGCAAAGACATACACACCATTTCGCAAATCACCTTGTCCAATCACAGTCTTCGATAAACGGTCCTGTATTACACAACAATGATCATTAAAAGTCACATAACAAGTATTATCACGAACCAAGCAACCAACAGATATCAAGTGACAATGTAAATTTGGGACATATAACACATTACGAAGTACCAAACGTGGTGACAAGTGCACACTTCCCTGTTTAATGGCGTGAACACGAGACCCATTAGGGAGACAAATAGATTGAGGGGATACATCCTCAATATTAGACAAGTGTAATAAAGATCCAGTCATATGATGAGAGGCACCACTATCAAGTAACCAATCACCACTGTAAGATGTAGTTGTACCGTATACTGAGCAAATAGCCATTCTAAAAGAAATTGTTGAAGTGTTGTGAAAATCCACTGAAAATCAATTTAGAATTAAAGTTGGCAGCCCACTGAAATAATTGAGACTTGAACTTGGCAGGTGGCCCACTCTATCCGCTGCACTTTGCTGCACCTTTTTTTTTTAAATTGAAATCCTTGGCTTGCGTCCTGCGGTGATGAACAATCGCAGGTGGACAGATAAGCGGAAAACAAGCTGGACCAGCGACTGGCAGGCGGGAGACCGACGGACCGACGGGAATTTGGGAGACCGACGGGAATTCGGACGGTTCAATTGGATTCCCGATCAGGACGACGAACAGGAACAGTACCCGCAATTGGATTTCCCAATTTTGGACGGCCTTTGGACGGATGAATTGAGCGGCGATCCAAACAAACTGTAATTCCAGAAACTGACAGGACGGATGGTTGAATCAGCATAGGGCTCCGATACCATGTTGAATTTTGGAATTGAAATTGTTGCTTTATTCATTGATGCAAAGACATATATAAATACACACGGGAGATAGAAACGAGGAGCCCTCTGGTGATACAAACGAGGAGCCCAAATACAAATACATAAAGAATATATATATACACTAAAACAAATATGTACCAAAAATACTAAGCTAACAGTTTAAAAAACTTTTTGAATTTTTTATTACTTCCCTCACGCTTATTCAAGTCTTCTTTTCTTTATATTTTTTCCTAATTTCTAATTTATTTACCTTTTATTCATGAAAATTTTTATTTCTTCTTATGGAAAAGTTTTGAAGTTTATATTGGAACAATGAAAATAAATATATCTCCCATTTCCTAAAAAATTGGCCTCAATTTCTGATTGTGTATTTGTTGATTATTTTTTTTATTTCATTGAAAAAATGACACCACTCTTTATCATTTCTGGGTCCGCCACTGCATATACATATATATATACATATATATATATATAGAACATATTTTAATCTTAATTTGAAAAAGTTCTCTTAGATAAAATATTGTACGGATTAGTTTGTCACGACTCACGAAGGTTTATTTTCATTTTATTTAATGATTACTATAAAATAAAAAATTATATATTTAAAAATTACGTCAAAAATCTTCAGAACAATAGATGTTAATAATATTTGATTTTATCAAATAAAGAATTAAAACACAAAACAAAAAATTCCCATGGTTTTTGAATAATAGAGAGTAAAGGTCCCGTTTGAGCATTAGAAATTAGTGTTAACATTTTCAAAAAAAATTATCTGACGATAGCGTTTAGTGTTAACATTTTCAGAATTAATATATATTATTAAAATTTTATTCGAAATACTAACACTAATCGAAAAATGGGAAAGAAGGTAAAGTCTAACATTCTTTTTGAATGGACAGAGTACTCCGTAGTCAATCCTGCTACCAGCATTGATCGGTTTCCCAATTGCGGAAGGCAGAGCTGGCGAATCTCGGCGATTTTGCCGGATTCCGAAAAGTACAAACACCGGCGCGCATTTCGGCACCCCGCCACTCACGGAAGAGCCGCCGATCGTAGACGCCGCGTTTCTCGGGATCCAACAGAGTGGAATACGCCGTATGGATTTCCATAAACTCGCTGGCCGACGATTCCTTCCCCGCCACATCGGGATGACAAGCTCGAGCTCGCCTTCGATACGCCGCCTTGATCTCTCCGCTCGTCGCGCCGATCGCTATCCCCAGCACATCGTAAAACGACGCCGGCTGAGACAGAGATGCCGGTTTCGGAGGCCACTTGAATCTGGAGGTAAACGAGGCAGTGGCCGATTCCGATTCCGTTCCAGCAAACGCCGCCGTAGTGGCCGCGGCGGTGGGAGTGGAGAAGCTCGATCGCCGGAATTTGACAAAGGAAGGCGGAATTGATATCTCCGGCGGGAACAGCGATGACTGTGTTGGGGAAGGAAGGAGAGAAATGGAAGCCATGGTTAAGCTTTGCAGTTCGAAACAGAATCGAGAGTGCATTTTGAAGAGTGGTGCCGCTGCTGGCCATAAATATAGGGAGATGGGAGGAGGGAGAATTTAACCATGGTTAACCTGACGGAGTTATATAAGTAACCATTCTGTTGGAACTCCGTTACTTTTTTTTTGAAAGTAACTCCGTTACTTCTTCAATTGGCCGGTACATAAAATATCATGTTTTGTAGTAAAATGCTAGGGTGCCACCATATCACATAAGTGATACTATGCGTGCACGCATGCTTCACACAGACGATAATTGTCTGTGTTGCACATACAATTATCGTCTGTGTTTGTCTGTGTGAAGCATGGATGCACTCATGGTAGAGACTGTGAAACTTAAAATGATAGGTGTATAGTACTTTGGTAAACACTACTTGTACACTAGTATGTTACAGTTAACACATACAATAATTATTTGTGGAATCGTGCTAGGGGTACACCAAACGGTGTACCCATTTGCACACCAACAATCACCACCCTACATTCTTTATATTCACTTACTAATTTTTTAATTTACACTCATAATTGTGTTATTGAGATACAATGGAGTACACATGGGATACATATTTTGATATACTCCTAGCATTTTTCTTATTTCCGTGCACATAGGCAAATGTTGTTTGTGTATGTCTTTAACACACTCCTTTACACCAAAGTGGTGTAGATTTAGAATAACCCCTACAAAACACACATGGGGTAGGGGTGGGCACGAGCCGATTTAACTCTATTTTTTTAAACCCTGCCCCGACTCGTGGATATAGAAATGGAACGGGTTGGAAAGGGTCATCAACAATTGATAAATGGAATCGTTTCTAACTCGGTAGAGCTGGCAAATCGGTCGTTTGGGTCGAGTTCGGGCTCGGTAACTTGAAGTTTGGGTTATTTCGGGTTCGGGTCAATTCAGGTTCAGGTTGAAAACTGTATGTTCATGACCCAGTGTCATCGGGTTCGGGTCGACCCAACGGGTTATGACTTTGATTTTTTAAATTTTTAAATTCACATTAACACTTACATTTTCTGTTAAATAAATTTAAAATATCAAAAAAAGTATTAAATCTATAAAATTATTTTATTTTAAACTCTGAAGTAATTTTTAGATATATATAAATCAATAAAAGAAATTAAAAATGCTTAAGTTTTTGAAAAAAGTAAGATAATTATGCAATATCATTAAAATTTTGTTTGAAAATATAAATTTATATACTAAAATCGAGTAGTAAAGTGTATGATTTTGAAAAATTCTTACTTTAGCGGGTCAGTCAAGTCAGGTTCGGTTTCGGTCGGGTTTGACCCATTTTTAGCGGGTCATTTCGGGTTTGGTCAACTTCGGGTTCGATCATCAAAATCTTTGTTTAAAACCCAATGTTTTCAGATCAGATTTCGAATAAAAAACAGGTGGATCATTTTTTGTTAGGTCTATAACTCGGCTTCTTTGAAACCGCCCCAATTCCATGGGTCGAGGAGTCCAAAACAAGCATTTCCAACTTGCATAATCTCCTCGAATTGAGAGCAGTAGAGTATTGTCATATATAGCCAAACAACTCCGTAGGAAATAACAATATTCAAAGCAATAGTTTATAGTTCTCCCACAGCATCGAGCATACCAGCACTAAATAAAAAGCCAAACATGAAAAGTAATACTCCTTTCGTTCCCCATTGTTTGTAACATTTTCCAAATTGTTTGTAACATTTCGAAAGATACGTAAAATATCATTTTTTTTAAAATTATTTTATTTACAAATTAGTAGAAAAATGAAAAGTAAAAATTACACTGTTCAAAAGTAAAAAAAAAGTTTATAAAAGAAGATGTGAGTCATGTGACAAGAAAATTTTACTTTATCAGATGGTCAACCAAAATGAATAAACAATCAAAAGTAACCGAGAGACTGAAAGAGTAGCGGTGATATTCTTTAGAGCAACTCCAACGTTTAGTGTAAAACTGAGTAAAGTATATAAAATAAAGGGTTTAGCATTTACTGTACATAATTTTGAGTTCCAACGGGTAGGGCATAAAATAGAAGGAAATGTATTTTCCATCTCTGGTCTTCCAAATATAAATGCTCCTGTAGATAGTGTAAATTGCTTCCTCTCGATCGGGACTATCTTCTCCGCTTCACCAATCGCCAATCGCCGATGGCAATATGCATATTCTCCTTTGTTGTTCCTCTCCTTGAAAACTATGGAGATTTTTTTTGACAATTACCGATATGCAATTTCAAGGTATAGATCTACAGATCTTCTCCTTCACTACATCTTGAGTTTTGCGATTCAACTATGGATCTTCTCATTAATTAGTACATCGATTATTGCAACTACCAGTCTATGCGAGTGGCGGCGGTGGTTTAGGGCGGCATAGTTGAGTTTGCAGAAGGTATGATTTTTTTTATTTTGCAGGGTATGAATGTTTCCAAGACGAAGGAATGGAGTTGGAGGTTAAAAATACATGATATGGTTGGAGTGAATATCAAAAAATGAGTTGTTAAAACACTGTTCAAGAGCTAAAATAAGATTTAGATGACGAAAATATAAAAGGTGGGTTGGAGTTGCTCTTACTTGATTAGTTGATTAGCTACTTTATAATATGATTACTTTATGTTGGGTTTGTGGAGGCTTGGGCTTAATTTGTAGGCCCGGCCCCTTTGTTGTAATCCTAGTTGCGCTCTTCCTATATATATTGCATACTTGTACTTGTAATCGACACCACAAGTGAAATAAGAAAATCCTCCCGTTGCAGCCGTGGATTAGGGAAACCGAACCACGATAAATTCTTGTGTGTCGTTTGTGTTCCGTTTCTCTCTTGATTCTCGCAGATATTTGTGTGTGTTGCGTGCATAATCCCCAACAAGTGGTATCGGAGCCAGGTTTGTTCAACACGAACACAAATTGCGAGTTGTCACCTAGATTTTTTTGGGGTGTGCGTGCACAGCCGCCTGGAGTTTTCCGCTGGAGATCTGAACGAGTCCGATCGCGCGCAGAGGAGATCTCAAAATTGTCAATTTGATCTCGCCCTGCCGCCGAAGAGCGTGTGAGGAAGAAGATTCGCGGCCAGCGAATCAGCGTGGCTGCAAAGGGCACAGCAGCCGCGTCGAAGCAGCAAGGGAGCGCCACCGCCAAGTTGAAGGAGCCACCGCCGTCCTCAGTTGACGCTGCTGGTTCGAGGGGGACCTCAGCAGCGAAGGAGCCAACGCCGGGCTGAGAAGCCGCTGCCGCCTTCAGTCGCGCGCGCAGCCAGATTCGTCGTCAGTCGCGCGCAGAGGAGCATCTGCTAGTCCATCCAGCCGCTGCCGCTAGCCGTGCGCAGAAGCCGTTGTCAGAATCGCCGTCGTCGTGCCAGGAGAAGGTGCAGCCGCAGATTAGTTGATGCCACCATCGCCATTGAACAGCCAAGAAAAAAAAAGAAAAAGTGAGTGGGCCGGGCAGTGGGCCAAATTAAGTGTCATTTGGTCAGCCCCCATCCCTTTTTTCTTTGTTTGTTTTTGGTTTGGTTGGGCTTTATTTGGAGTGATTTGGGCCTTTTTTGATTTGGATTGGTGAGAAGTGTTCTTGTTCTTATTTTTCTGACGAAAATACCAAGATCTGAAATTAGTTGGATCGGGTATCTTGTCTAGTCGTTTGATATGGCAGAAGATGGGAAGTTCCGAATTGAGAAGTTCGATGGTACA